GGCACAGTCTACTGCACTGTTAATGAAGGGTGGGGATGATGTGACTCTTGTGGCACGTGATTGGCCTATTTATCCTGAAGTTTTTGCTCTGTACCTGATGCATGTAATATATTTACTCAAGATGCTTCTTACTTCTTACAATTTTCTTCCCATTGATAATCCAGTATTTCCTTCTAAGGCGTTGCTTGGTTTCCGCCATGGAGGGTTTCGTGATGTGCGTCCATTATTACTAGTTTGCTCAAATGATTTTGACTTGGTAATATTATAGGATGTTTCTGACTGTATGGTAACTCTGAATTTTGTAATCTGAAAATGAAATGGGCTTAGATTTCATATTTTGCTTGATTTCTCGACGTTTTTCTTTGTGTTAACGGATAATATCTCAGATCGAAATTTGCAGTTTTGGATCACTTTGATAACTTCCTGGAAGGTTTTCTTGTTTATTCGACAGATAATATTGGTTTATTGGACCTGTGGATGACTCTTCGATAGTCATTCTTGTTGGTCGATTATGTTTTCTGTGAATTTTATTTTACCCTGGAAACATTTTATGGTTTTCCTAGCTTCTTGGTCCGTTTCGGGTATTTCTTTAGCTAATGGTAGTGGTTCATGACTATGAAGCCATGCTGGTCCATTCCACCACAGAAGATTGTTTGCTAATTGTTCTAGATTTGTCCCTCTGGATATAACGTCGTCTGCTGGATTTTCGGATGTTCTTACGTGGTTCCAGTGACTGCTGCTACGTATCTATTTATATCAGTCACGCGATTGGCAACAAATGTTTTCCATGAATTGAGCTGGCCTTTTATCCAGCCTAATGTTATCATGGAGTCACTCCATACGACAGTTTCCATATTTTCGAGATAGTTTGATTTATCATTTTGGCTAATAAGTGTGCTGCACAGAGTTCAAGTTTCGGTAGTGTTGTTCTTAGTTTTACTGGGGCTCCTTTTGATTTTGCCCAGAGAAGTGTGACAGCTATGTTCTCTTCAGTCGTCATTGTTCGGCTGCAGATCACAGCTCCATACACCTTTTCAGAGGCGTCGCAGAATCCGTGGAATTGAATTAGGTTTCCTTGGCTGAATTTCATCCATCTTGGAATTCTGATATCTTCGACTTTATTTATGTCCTTTCTAAAGGTTATTCATCTGTCTGCTAGTTCACCTTCTATTTTTTCATCCCATCCTAATCTTTAACAATCCTAAAGGATCGAAAATTTTTGCTATCTTTGATAGGATGTGTCTTTTTGTTAGTAGACTCTCTGGTGATGTGGTAACTTCAAATATGAAGTTGTCATCATAAGGCGACCAAAATACACCAAGTAATTTTTGGAAGTCATCTTCAGATAACTCTTGGACGGTTTGCTTTTATTGCGATTTGAGAAGGGCTTGAAGCAGGGCTGGATTGTTACTGATCCATTTCCTCAGATTAAAACCAGCAGATTGCATCATATTGAGTAACTGTTGTTGAATTTCTATTGCCGATTCTAGATCATTGGCACCTGACAGGACATCAGCTACGTAAAAGTCTCGTAAGGTGATTTTGCTTGCAATGGGATACTTCGTTTCTTCAGATTTTGCTAATGTTTGTAGTCTTAATGGCTTGGTATGGTGCAGATGCTGTTCCATATTATGTGACAGTGGTTAGCTCGTATTCAATCATTCGGTGTTCGCTGTCAGATCGCCATAAAATTCTCTGGTAAGGTTGATCTTCTCGATGAATTTTTATCTGTCGATACTTTTTTTTATATCGGCTGTAAAAACTACCTCATGCTGCCTCCATCTTAGCAGGATTTAAAATAGGTTCTGTTGGAGTCTTGGACCAGTTAGCATCAGATCATTTAGGCTAACATTGGATATTGATTTACTGGAAGCATCAAAAACAGCTCGTAGTTTAGTGGTTGTAGTGTCCATTTTAAATACTGCTTGCTGTGGCATAAAGTATCTGCCTTCATGAAGATTTTGAAATTATGCTTTTTTCATGGTGCCCTAATTTTAAATATTCATCCATGAATGCATCGTATTGTTCTTTAAGGCAAGGTTCTCTCAAAAAACGGTTTTCCAGGCTTCTTAAACGGGCACCCGCTCTAGGTTTTATTCGTCCTAATAGTTGCGTGCACCGATTGAATGGAATTCTGACTATAAATCTTCCTTTTTCATCTCGATAGGTAATCCCATCGTAAAATTTTCCGCAGATTTCGTCATCTTCTGATATATATTTATTAGTTTGTGGTAACTCTTATAATTCCTGTGATTTCGTGAGTTGGCTATCTTTTTCATGTAGGGAAATCATGCTGCTCACTTGAAGTGGAAGGTGGTTTGACAATACACCTCCAGATACCATCCATACCAGTTCCGTATTTTGCTTAAGAAGCCCTTCTCTTGTTTTTTGAATGGCATTTAGAATAATATGCGTAGGTATATTCTCTCGCTCCAACTATAGCATCAATTGGACCTGGTTTCATATAAGTTGCATCTGCTAGGTTTTCATTCGTGTACGAGCTGTCGACTTCCAATCGATATCGTGGAGCTGATTGAGCTAATTTTGGGAGTACTAACATCTTTACGTCAAGTGAAAATTTGCTCGGAAAGCGTGGCTTGATGCGGAGATCTACTGCCCAGGAGCTAACTTGTTGGCTACCATCTCCTATGCCTGAAATTTCTGCTCTGATTTTCTGAAGTGGAAGATTACGTAGCTGGGCTGCATATTCTGTTACAAACGCAGATTATGATCCTTGGTCAATGAGGACACGTAAATATTGAGTGATGCTAGCTGTTGCTACCTCTACTAATGCTGTAGCAAGAGGAACATTCTCTTCATGGTCTTTTACGTGATAGCTCGAGGTATTTTGCCTTTGATCCTTTCTTCTGAAGTTGTTGAGTATTTGGCTATTTTCATTTTGATTTTAGGTTCTTTGATCACTCTTCTTGATGTCTGATGTGCTGCGTTGTTGAAGTTTCGTTGATTATTTTCATTATGTAGAATTTTATGATGATGCTTCCTGCAGACATTGCAAGTTACACTGCTGCGACATCTAATATGTTTTTCGTGATTGAGACAGTTCACGCAAAGGTTTATTTCCCGAACAAAACAATTTCTTTCTTCTACCGACAATCTTCTAAAGGCTTCGCAGTGATATATCGCATGATCTTTCTCGTAATATTAGGCGGGTTGAGTTGTTCCTTCTACTTGGGCTTGTTGCTTCCAGAGATTGAAATTTTCTTTCAAAAAATTCCATGTATTGTTGGTAGTCTTGAATTTTGTGTGGTTCTGTTATTGTTTATTCATACATCTTGTTGGCTTCGGAATCCCATTTCCGACTGATTATTCTGATGATTGGACCCCATGACTATGTGCTACTCCTATATGTATTTTCTAGCCCACGAGTACATTCTTTGATGATCTCATGCAAGAGCTTTAATTTTTTAATGTTTCCGGTGCAGAGGTTTGAAAATTCTTATAACTTGTCTATCAGTTGCGATGCTAATAGTCGTTTGTTTTCATATCTATTCTGGAGCAAGTCCCATGCTGTGGTTGTTTTCAGTGGTTATCAGTTGCTGAATGAGTCTTGCAACTTCTCCTCGAACATGTGTTTTAAGTAATTGTATCTTCTCTGCCTTGGAAAAATGTATGTTGTCGTGGACTACTCACAAAATGATCCTCCTTGAAATGTTGGAATGGTTATTTTTGGTGACGCAAGATGTCTTTCAGGCCAGATTGATTGGGTCTGTGATAGTTGCGGCTGACATAAAGCTTGAGCCTTGATTGTTTCCGTTGACAATTTTTCCAACGTGTCATCATACTTCATCTGATACTCATGAAACTTATCATCTCTGAAGTAGGTACTGGTGAATGATTTTTCATGAATTATTACTTCTTCGTGCAATTATTGAATAGCTTCCCATTGTTTTACTAGCTTTTTCTGTTGTAATTCATACCTCATTCTTGATTTTGATTCAGTTAGATCTTGGTTGCTTTGGTCGATTGTTCTATCCAATTCCTCACACTTAAGATTTGGTTTCTTCAAGAATAAGAGTTGTAGACTATTTTGTAATTCATCATTGATGGTTTTAAGGTACTTCTTGCAAGTCTCATAATTCTCTTTTATTTGTTGCAGGTATTTTCTAATAAAGTAGGCGTGGTTTGGTTCATTGCACTTGTTTAGTTCCATGATAATTTTCTTGAACTTTATCCCATAGATCTTCTAGTGCTCCAAGTTTTTTTTCTACATATTGTTCAGTTCTTCTTGATTGGCCATCTTTTCTACAGTTGGTGTAAAGCTGCATGTTATTTTTGCCTAATTCTTCTTGCTGAACAGCACGTAAGTTCATTTCTTCCGCCATTGTTCTGTTGATCTTGAAATGGGCTTAGTTGGAACTCTGGAACTCACCCAAACTTTCGTCATTTATGCTTGTTGAATAAAATGTTAAGATTCCTGAAAGGCTTGTGTTACAATATCCATTTAAACTTTTTAAATTGATATACCATGTATGTAAGTAGTAGTTTCCCGTTGCTTTCCTAACTATTTTCTCTCCAGCCTCCAACCTGGAGAACAGAGGCTGTCGGATTATGGCTTCTTACACGTCCGTCAAGTCCTAGATAAATATTATGAAACGTATTAAAAAATTAACTCAATCCTATTTTTTGGAGAACTCTCCCCAAGACGTATTCTAATTATTACAGATAAAAATATAGGGTCTATAATTTTACCTATCCCTGATAGCAATATTCTTAAGTGCACTTTGTCTATGCCACTTCTTATTTCTAAAAAAAAATAAAGCCAATTTTGTTATAAATTTAATTAATTCTAAACTAAATCAATACATGTGCGGCTATAAACACAGTTACATATTAAAAATATGCAAATAACGCTAGAGGAAAATTAGAACTTGTTGATTATTTCGATTTTGATGTTGGTGGTGGTGGTTGCGTGTTAGGTTAACGAGTTCAGTTTGATATAGAAGGGTTGAATATTCTGACCATATAGAGAGAAAAAATAGTTGGCATTTCACATTCAAACAAGTTCTATTGTTTAATATAATAATGGCTAAATCAAGTGAAGATTATGAACTAGAAGATAGAGATCCCAAAAAATTAAATCGACAACTTGAGGTAGAAATATACCTATTTTTTTTCAGTATTAAAACTCAGTAAAACTTTTTTAGGTCAACTGGGAAGATATTGTAGGAGAACCTGCCTCACTAAGAAGTCCAGAATGTGCTTGGACCCTTGGAAAATTATGTTTTAGATTTTCCAGAATAACCATTTATACTTGCTTGTCCATATTTTGTGCTCCATTTGTCGCATGCTGTATTGGCACTACATATGCTTGCTACCAATTCGAGGTGAGACTCCAAACTAGTCCAGAAAATCATTACAAATAATTTGAAATTCCTTTTCTAGCATATATGGTGTAATATTCCTTGTCTGAGACTATATAGGATATCGTGTGGAGTTACAAAATCGTTTGTGCTAGCTTTCACCCATGGATTATTGATACCGCTTATGGAAGCTTTTGGTCATCTTTGTTCAAAAATTAAGGTGAGGACAATGAAGGAGCAAGGAGTCGAAAATACAGAGGAAGAAGAAAAAATATTGATAGTTTAATGCATTTATTTTATTATGTTGTATAAGTATTTAAGTAAATTCATTTATTGTGATTGAAAATCAATTATTAATATAACTCAGTTAAGCTTTACGTTTTTTCTTATAAAGTGTAGCTAAAACAATGCATTTTATACTATATACTAATTAATTTAATAATAAATGATATATAACGTTCTCCGTCTTCGGATTTCATCATCTACCATCGTGTCTTACGTTCATAATTTCTCTAACGCTCTGGTTTGTTATATCCTTTCCATTTTTAATTTGCCTTCCGCTGCCTGCCGCTCCTCCAAAGTTCCATTTCAGTTGCTTTTAGCATTTTTGCGGTTGTGTCTTTCGTCCGTATATATCCCGATCTTCAATTGCTTCGTCTATGGTTCCTTGGTACGAGATTTTTACCTCTAAATATTTGTAATCAGTGCATTGTTTCATTTCTTGTTCGTTATTCTCATTTAGGTTTCGCTGATAAATGATAAATAACAATAGTACATCATATACCTAGGTAAAGAAGTTCATCATCATATACCGAGCACTTTTATACCCCGAGGCTCGAAGCGCCGAGGTTTATAATGCGCGTTTGAAATGATTGTGTTCTGTTCAAATAAATTTTTTTTTTCTAAATCGCTTCTCGAAAGTACCGACCTCTATCTATGGATAATGGTAATTTTCTGTTTAGATACAGAAACCTGTTTTTTTTTTGTAATTGACAGGTTGAAATTGAAATCAAACCAACAAAAACCTGGTATGTCATAACGTCATTTTCATTATTGACCTAGGTTTTTTTGCATTACTATCATTATTTACCTAGGGAGGCAAATTCAGGCCTTTCCTAGAAAAATAGATTAAATAATGACTATTTCTCAGGTTAGTGATAGAAAAAATAGTTTTCTTCATCCTCATGCCCGCGAAAAGATACGTGGAATTCAGATTTGAAGACATCCAGATAGAGGCACGGTTGTTAAAGGGAGGCGTTTTATCGCTGCTGTTACGGAACCTTGTTCTCGACAGCCTCTTACACCGCCTCAACTCTAACGAATTCTTTACAATTGCATACTGTTACAAATAATTAGTATTTGTACTTTAAGACAAGAGAACCTATAGGGTCGTGGAATTCAAAAAAATTAAGATAACGTGTAGCCCCTTTATGTGCAAACGAAACCACTCAAAATCCAACAAACAATAATTTTTATTTTGTTTACAATGTCGTGACAATAGGCCGGCATACGCACACGTTATTTCGCGCGGTTTATCGTGGCGTGTTGGGATGTAGCGGTTTGCACGGGCGAAAGAACGGCGTGGCAAAAAAAGCGTCATGTTCCATACACTTGACAAAGTATTCAAATGATTTAGCACGTGATTACGCGCGGCATATCAGTTGGAAAGGAAAAACCGTATGTGTATGGGTAAAAAGTGTCATTTATCGTGTCGTTTGGAAGTGCATGTTATCATGTACTAATTTTCAACGTGATAGTTTGCTACGCGGCGTTTATGTCTCCGTACTAGCCTCAAATCGTGACGTGGAATGGCGTGTGGACACGGTTGTAAACTGCACTATCATGTACTTCAGTACTGAGACGTCACATTCCAGATGAAAGCACATCTGAAATCCCTTCCCATTCTATCATTGCGTGTAGCCCTCCTCACTCACGCACATGATTTTTCACAGGTTTTTGCAGATGAGACGAAAAACCGCACGAAAGAACGTGTGTCTATGCCGGCCTATAGCCACTTTCTTTAAAATTTTGACAGTTGACAGCTTGGTTGTTTTGGTGGATCTGACACAATGTACCTTTCCAATCCGGAGCTCTTCAATGGATGTTGGGGTTTCACTTTCGTTTACTGGAGCTCTTCATGTTGTTTCCTGTATAGGATAATTTGCCGGGGTGACGTCACTCCAGCTGATTCAGACTCCAAACAGTGATCTTTTATGTCGAGTAGGTACCCAGAAAAGAATAAGGCAGTATCAGCTTCACCCAGATTTGGAATATTAAATCCCTGAATTCTCTCAAAAAGCGAGTGTCTTGTAAAGACAGAAAAATTAATATGAAATTAGTTTATTATAGAACTATTGTTGTGCAGACACGCCTTTCCAACAGAATCAGGTATGAGCAACTATTCCAAAGTGAAAGAAAGAATATTTTAATACAAAAAAGAAACAATTAAATAATTGAAAATATTGATAAAATAATCGTAAATAGTAAATAACAGAAATATTAAATTAAAATGCTCGTTACAGATTGAGCAGAGTGCTGCTTTTCTGGCAGTAGCAATAACAGGCAAGAATAAGAACAAAACCAGATAAAAATTAAGAAACTAAATCTCTAGATTCTCTCCCAAATAGACAAAATTTGGTTTTCACCGACTCTAGTTAGACCAAATGATCCAATAATCCCACACTAACAATGGATTCTGAAAACCAGAGTAGCAGTACCTATTTATTAGCCCAAAAATCTGAATTGACTTACCGCAGAAAAACGTGGCACCACCAATCGGCACTCACACAAAATGAAGGCCCACAATTAGATAAAAAATTAATATATAATATTTATATTTCAAAAATAGATAAGATAAGATTTATCAGGTAAAAACTCAACAGTGATATGGTAGTATGCACTGATTGCAAAATAAATTGAAAAATTATAAGGGAGATTCTAAAAATGTGAAGGAAAAATCATAAAAGTGAAAATGACTTGCCTGCTAGAGCACTGCCAGAGAAAGAGTCCGTTTTAGAAACCAAACCCTATAGGAAACCAATCTTGTGTTTTTTTTATACCTACTCAACTGCGTATTAACCAGATCAACCAATCAGAAAACTACACACAAAAGATCGTATTCACTTCACAATGAAATACCACGTGGATTAAAAGAGAATAGATAAAAATCCATAGAATTGTTTTAATTGTTTACAAACTACAATAATTTGAATTAAGGTTATGATGAAAACAAAAAACCGCTAATTAATTAAAGTCTGTTTTTTTTTTAAAGATAAAAGTCAAAATGACATTATGTTGGCAATACAATGTAAAATTGTCAATGCTTTCAAATTTTTTATGTAGAAAAGGCTTGTGTTGCCAACATAGTTACTAAATTTTTGACTTGGGGAATTATCTTTAAATAAAAAACAAACTTTAGGTCATTAGGCCAAAAATAATCATATCCATTTGCTAAAAGTGAGATAAATATAATTTCTTTCAATGAAATTACAAATGACTGTCAAATGCGAAATAAAGTGTGTTTTTTTTTTAAAGATAATTCCCCAAGTCAAAAATTTAGTAACTTTGTTGGCAACACAAGCCTTTCCTACATAAAAAAATTGAAAGCATTGACAATTTTACATTGTATTGCCAACATAATGTCATTTTGACTTTTATCTTTAAAAAAAACAGGCTTTAATTAAAATCATACTTTGAAAAATAAATCCATCAGGTACTAGATGGCAGTACCTTCATTTGATAATCAATAAAGTTTTTTTTTTTTTAAAGATAAAAGTCAAAATGACATTATGTTGGCAATACAATGTAAAATTGTCAATGCTTTCAAATTTTTATGTAGAAGAGGCTTGTGTTGCCAACATAGTTACTAGATTTTTGACTTGAGGAATTATCTTTAAAAAAAAAACAGACTTTATTTGCATTTTTTGCACATGATGGATAGATGGCAGTACTGATATTATATTGAACTTTGTGGATATTTTTAGATTGCTTAAATTATGAATTATCGTTTTGCTGATTCTGAAATGGCAAAAATACAACTTTATAATGAACATAAGAAGAGATGGAACACGTTACGTAAATGATAAATTGATCGTAACAATACGCAGACGACCTGCTTGATGGAAAATTCGAAGGAGTCCTGTGAGACAATATGCAGAGCGCCCTTCGTCTGGTTGAAGAATGGTGTCAGAAGTCCTGTCTATCAACCCCAGGAAGACGGAGATGGTGCTCTTCATCAGAAAAAGAAGGACGGCACCTCTTAGGGCACATATTCTACTAAACACACAATTAGATTTTGCCAAGGAGGTGAAATACCTTGCTATCACTCTAGAAGCAAAATTGAACCGGAAACTTTACATTGAGAAAAGACTAAAAAAGGCATACATTTATTTCGAGCAGTGGCGCAGAACTGTAGGTAGAACTAAAGGCCTCAAGCCTAGAGTGGTGATGTGGATCCACACTGCCATCACAGCATCTGCCATCATGGAGTAACGCGAACAACGCCAACTAGGGCCGTGGAAGTAATTCTCTGCCTGCCATACCTTGACATTTAGCTCAAGGAACTAGGAAGTACTAAGTAGTACTTATGACTGTTCGTAGACTGGAAGCGGTTGGTGCAATAACTAGCGTAAGCTGTGGATCCAAAAGATGCCGCATGTGGAAGGAGGCGGTCAGCGAAACCTCTACTGCAGGTTAGGACCAGATATAATAGGTTTGTTCCAACTGGCAGTAATTTCCAGTAATATTACTGGCACACATGCGCAATTGTGAAATGCTGTTCCAACCAGTTAAAATTACTAATTTAGAATTGGCGATAATTGACAGTTCGTCGTTCCAACCGGAGTTACGGATAGTAAAATTACGGTTCAAATGATTCTTGCTTGAAAGGAAGAACTGTTGGTTCTAAAATTAGACGCATGCGTAGTGAGGTCGAAAACGGGTCAGTAGTTGAACAACAACGAACATAAATAATAATAGGGGAGACTAGGGAGACTTGATCCCATTTTTTGTTTTTTTCGTATAATGATATCTAGAAGAGAGTAGTCGAATTTCTGCTGGTATCAATGTGATCTCCCATTCATAGAGCAAATACTGATTGCTTCAAACTTAAAAGAAAAAAGTATTTATTTCAGTTATAGGCTTCTGTTTGTCCCATTGCAGGAGGGATCAAGTCTTCCACCTTAAGGTAGACTTGATCCCTCGTGTGGGGACACATGATTACCCTAATCATGTCTTGCTTTTACAATGCCCTATGGTGACCTCGCTAATTTTTGCAACGGAATATTGTTCTACCTTAAAAAAAAACAATACTTATGAAAATAAACAGTTTTAATGAACGGATTACATGTGTTTTAAGGTAGGAACTCACAAAAGAAACAAATCAAACATATCTAAAAATCAAAAACAAATTTAACCAATGGTAATATTTTTGGGAAAG